ACGTGTCTGATCTATACTGACAATACCAGGTGTACAGTATACCACGTGTCTGATCTATACTGACAATACCAGGTGTACAGTATACCACGTGTGTCTGATCTATACTGACAATACCAGGTGTACAGTATACCACGTGTCTGATCTATACTGACAATACCAGGTGTACAGTATACCACGTGTCTGATCTATACTGACAATACCAGGTGTACAGTATACCACGTCTGATCTATACTGACAATACCAGGTGTACGGTATACCACGTGTGTCTGATCTATACTGACAATACCAGGTGTACAGGTATACCACGTGTCTGATCTATACTGACAATACCAGGTGTACAGTATACCACGTGTCTGATCTATACTGACAATACCAGGTGTACAGTATACCACGTGTCTGATCTATACTGACAATACCAGGTGTACGGTATGCCACGTGTCTGATCTATGCTGACAATACCAGGTGTACAGTATACCACGTGTCTGATCTATACTGACAATACCAGGTGTACAGTATACCACGTGTCTGATCTATACTGACAATACCAGGTGTACAGTATACCACGTGTCTGATCTATACTGACAATACCAGGTGTACAGTATACCACGTGTCTGATCTATACTGACAATACCAGGTGTACAGTATACCACGTGTGTCTGATCTATACTGACAATACCAGGTGTACAGTATACCACGTGTGTCTGATCTATACTGACAATACCAGGTGTACAGTATACCGTGTGTCTGATCTATACCACAATACCAGGTGTACAGTATGCCACGTGTCTGATCTATACTGACAATACCAGGTGTACAGTATACCACGTGTCTGATCTATACTGACAATACCAGGTGTACAGTATACCACGTGTCTGATCTATACTGACAATACCAGGTGTACAGTATACCACGTGTCTGATCTATACTGACAATACCAGGTGTACAGTATACCACGTGTCTGATCTATACTGACAATACCAGGTGTACAGTATACCACGTGTCTGATCTATACTGACAATACCAGGTGTACAGTATACCACGTGTCTGATCTATAGTGACAATACCAGGTGTACAGTATACCACGTGTCTGATCTATACTGACAATACCAGGTGTACAGTATACCACGTGTCTGATCTATACTGACAATACCAGGTGTACAGTATACCACGTGTCTGATCTATACTGACAATACCAGGTGTACAGTATACCGTGTGTCTGATCTATACTGACAATACCAGGTGTACAGTATACCACGTGTCTGATCTATACTGACAATACCAGGTGTACAGTATACCACGTGTCTGATCTATACTGACAATACCAGGTGTACAGTATACCACGTGTCTGATCTATACTGACAATACCAGGTGTACAGTATACCACGTGTCTGATCTATACTGACAATACCAGGTGTACAGTATACCACGTGTGTCTGATCTATACTGACAATACCAGGTGTACAGTATACCACGTGTCTGATCTATACTGACAATACCAGGTGTACAGTATACCACGTGTCTGATCTATACTGACAATACCAGGTGTACAGTATACCACGTGTCTGATCTATACTGACAATACCAGGTGTACAGTATACCACGTGTCTGATCTATACTGACAATACCAGGTGTACAGTATACCACGTGTCTGATCTATACTGACAATACCAGGTGTACAGTATACCACGTGTCTGATCTATACTGACAATACCAGGTGTACAGTATACCACGTGTCTGATCTATACTGACAATACCAGGTGTACAGTATACCACGTGTCTGATCTATACTGACAATACCAGGTGTGTACAGTATACCACGTGTCTGATCTATACTGACAATACCAGGTGTACAGTATACCACGTGTCTGATCTATACTGACAATACCAGGTGTACAGTATACCACGTGTGTCTGATCTATACTGACAATACCAGGTGTACAGTATACCACGTGTCTGATCTATACTGACAATACCAGGTGTACAGTATACCACGTGTCTGATCTATACTGACAATACCAGGTGTACAGTATACCACGTGTCTGATCTATACTGACAATACCAGGTGTACAGTATACCACGTGTGTCTGATCTATACTGACAATACCAGGTGTACAGTATACCACGTGTGTCTGATCTATACTGACAATACCAGGTGTACAGTATACCACGTGTCTGATCTATACTGACAATACCAGGTGTACAGTATACCACGTGTCTGATCTATACTGACAATACCAGGTGTACAGTATACCACGTGTCTGATCTATACTGACAATACCAGGTGTACAGTATACCACGTGTGTCTGATCTATACTGACAATACCAGGTGTACAGTATACCACGTGTCTGATCTATACTGACAATACCAGGTGTACAGTATACCACGTGTCTGATCTATACTGACAATACCAGGTGTACAGTATACCACGTGTCTGATCTATACTGACAATACCAGGTGTACAGTACGGTATACCACGTGTCTGATCTATACTGACAATACCAGGTGTACAGTATACCACGTGTCTGATCTATACTGACAATACCAGGTGTACAGTATACCACGTGTCTGATCTATACTGACAATACCAGGTGTACAGTATACCACGTGTCTGATCTATACTGACAATACCAGGTGTACAGTATACCACGTGTCTGATCTATACTGACAATACCAGGTGTACAGTATACCACGTGTCTGATCTATACTGACAATACCAGGTGTACAGTATACCACGTGTCTGATCTATACTGACAATACCAGGTGTACAGTATACCACGTGTCTGATCTATACTGACAATACCAGGTGTACAGTATACCACGTGTCTGATCTATACTGACAATACCAGGTGTACAGTATACCACGTGTCTGATCTATACTGACAATACCAGGTGTACAGTATACCACGTGTCTGATCTATACTGACAATACCAGGTGTACAGTATACCACGTGTCTGATCTATACTGACAATACCAGGTGTACAGTATACCACGTGTCTGATCTATACTGACAATACCAGGTGTACAGTATACCACGTGTCTGATCTATACTGACAATACCAGGTGTACAGTATACCACGTGTCTGATCTATACTGACAATACCAGGTGTACAGTATACCACGTGTCTGATCTATACTGACAATACCAGGTGTACAGTATACCACGTGTCTGATCTATACTGACAATACCAGGTGTACAGTATACCACGTGTCTGATCTATACTGACAATACCAGGTGTACAGTATACCACGTGTCTGATCTATACTGACAATACCAGGTGTACAGTATACCACGTGTCTGATCTATACTGACAATACCAGGTGTACAGTATACCACGTGTCTGGATCTATACTGACAATACCAGGTGTACAGTATACCACGTGTCTGATCTATACTGACAATACCAGGTGTACAGTATACCACGTGTCTGATCTATACTGACAATACCAGGTGTACAGTATACCACGTGTGTCTGATCTATACTGACAATACCAGGTGTACAGTATACCACGTGTGTCTGATCTATACTGACAATACCAGGTGTACAGTATACCACGTGTGTCTGATCTATACTGACAATACCAGGTGTACAGTATACCACGTGTGTCTGATCTATACTGACAATACCAGGTGTACAGTATACCACGTGTCTGATCTATACTGACAATACCAGGTGTACAGTATACCACGTGTCTGATCTATACTGACAATACCAGGTGTACAGTATACCACGTGTCTGATCTATACTGACAATACCAGGTGTACAGTATACCACGTGTCTGATCTGTCTGATCTATACCACGTGACAATACCAGGTGTACAGTATACCACGTGTCTGATCTATACCAATACGGTGTCTGATCTATACTGACAATACCAGGTGTACAGTATACCACGTGTCTGATCTATACTGACAATACCAGGTGTACAGTATACCACGTGTCTGATCTATACTGACAATACCAGGTGTACAGTATACCACGTGTCTGATCTATACTGACAATACCAGGTGTACAGTATACCACGTGTCTGATCTATACTGACAATACCAGGTGTACAGTATACCACGTGTGTCTGATCTATACTGACAATACCAGGTGTACATACTGTATACCACGTACAGTATACCACGTGTCTGATCTATACTGACAATACCAGGTGTACAGTATACCACGTGTCTGATCTATACTGACAATACCAGGTGTACAGTATACCACGTGTCTGATCTATACTGACAATACCAGGTGTACAGTATACCACGTGTCTGATCTATACTGACAATACCAGGTGTACAGTATACCACGTGTCTGATCTATACTGACAATACCAGGTGTACAGTATACCACGTGTGTCTGATCTATACTGACAATACCAGGTGTACAGTATACCACGTGTGTCTGATCTATACTGACAATACCAGGTGTACAGTATACCACGTGTGTCTGATCTATACTGACAATACCAGGTGTACAGTTTACCACGTGTGTCTGATCTATACTGACAATACCAGGTGTACAGTATACCACGTGTGTCTGATCTATACTGACAATACCAGGTGTACAGTATACCACGTGTGTCTGATCTATACTGACAATACCAGGTGTACAGTATACCACGTGTGTCTGATCTATACTGACAATACCAGGTGTACAGTTTACCACGTGTGTCTGATCTATACTGACAATACCAGGTGTACAGTATACCACGTGTGTCTGATCTATACTGACAATACCAGGTGTACAGTGTACCACGTGTCTGATCTATACTGACAATACCAGGTGTACAGTATACCACGTGTCTGGTCTATACTGACAATACCAGGTGTACAGTATACCACGTGTGTCTGATCTATACTGACAATACCAGGTGTACAGTGTACCACGTGTCTGATCTATACTGACAATACCAGGTGTACAGTATACCACGTGTGATCCTACTGAAATGCTGGATGCTGGATGGTGTACTGTACACATGTCGGTAAAAGTGGTGTTATGTTTCAGTTGGTGTATTATCCAGCTTCTTAAAAAAGAAGAGAGAGTTTGATGCCGAGATTGAATATGTCCTCAACGATAGCACCAACACTGAGAGGTATTCGATTTACTCATGTTTGCTTTGTTATTACTTTGTGTAAATTGGGTTGAAATACGAAGGGAATGTTTATGATTAAAAGGCCTTTGCTTGACTGCTCGTCACAATTTGTTTCTTTCCTGTCGTACTGTAGGTCTTTCTGTATCAGAGTACATAGCTCTCAATGATTTCCATGTATACTTTCAGCGAGGCACCAACACCCCGCAGAGGTAGGTGTATCAGAAACATGTGTATATATAATTTTCCACTTTGTGGTATTTTATAATTGTAACGCAAGAGCAGTGTCGGCACTTCCATGGTTAAATTCCTGAAGGTTATATCATCATGTACATGCTCGAGTAAGCCTCATAAATATTTACTTTTCAGATTGCGTACAGATTCAAGGTCGCTTCACCGATGTGAACTGTGTTCTGTCACGCTTGAATACAGACGGTAACGGGGCAAAGGCTCTGTACAACCCCGGTGGCATGACGTTAGTGACGGAAACCGTGTCTGGAAACATCCAGTTTATGAAGTTCCTGTTAAAGCTCAGCACCATGCAGAAAGACAGTGTAAGAGAATAGGCTGGTAACCTAGATGTGGTGCAGGCACTCACACATGCACGACACTGAGACCTATCGAACACTGATATGTGAAAAAACCAGATACACCAGATCAAGTGTATGTATTCTAGCATATCAGATTTGACCTGCCCATATCTATTCTTAAACTGCTGTCGTATTTTCAGTATAATCAAGACTTCATCAGTATGTATGACGTCACGTCGTATAAAGTGAAGGTCGCAGACACAGAGAACAATGGCGGCACATCCGGTAATGGCGAGGACAAGGCACACCTCATCCTCCTGGATGGTGAGATCAGATGTCTCGACACCCTGGAGCTAGAAGTCAAGTATGTTAAACATAAACTCGGTTTATTTACTTGTAGTGACACCTTCAGGTGATGAGACAACAGAAAAGAGACGAGTAACATATTCCATTCTTTTCAATAAACTATGTATGTAAACATGTGTCTAAATTGATTTACGCATATGTGCTCTTTCATACATCTATGTGTTCCGTTCAGATGTTACTAGGCCAGTCGTCCGTCTACATATGTTTGCTTCAAAGCGAAAACGATATTGTATTTTATTTGTAAATAGAATTGCCTTACAGAAAGAGATGAACGGTGTTATACCTATTCAATACTAAATATATCAAAGGTGATTTGGCCAGGCTGATCAACTTACCAAGACATATATTGATAAATTCGTTTACCTAACTAGCCAATTATATCCGCGATAGGCTATCAAACTCAAGGTGGCCCGACACAGACTTGAAATGATTATGGACTTGTGTTCATGTATTGACCCAGTCGTAGAATACTTGAGGTTGGCCTCTGCATTTAGACCATTTTCATTCTGTAAAGGTGGTACGGCACAACACCTTTGTGTTCAGATGCAATACAATAGGCAAAGGTGAGCACCAGTCTGATACACCCCGTCCTTTGTGTGCCGCACAATCTCGTTATGTTAAGTCTGATATACCCCGTCCTCTGTGTGCCGCACAGTCTCGTTATGTTCAGTCTGATATACCCCGTCCTTTGTGTGCCGCACAATCTCGTTATGTTCAGTCTGATATACCCCGTCCTTTGTGTGCCGCACAATCTCGTTATGTTCAGTCTGATATACCCCGTCCTTTGTGTGCCGCACAATCTCGTTATGTTCAGTCTGATATACCCCGTCCTTTGTGTGCCGCACAATCTCGTTATGTTCAGTCTGATATACCCCGTCCTCTGTGTGCCGCACAGTCTCGTTATGTTCAGTCTGATATACCCCGTCCTCTGTGTGCCGCACAGTCTCGTTATGTTCAGTCTGATATACCCCGTCCTCTGTGTGCCGCACAGTCTCGTTATGTTCAGTCTGATATACCCCGTCCTCTGTGTGCCGCACAGTCTCGTTATGTTCAGTCTGATATACCCCGTCCTCTGTGTGCCGCACAGTCTCGTTATGTTCAGTCTGATATACCCTGTCCTTTGTGTGCCGCACAGTCTCGTTATGTTCAGTCTGATATACCCCGTCCTCTGTGTGCCGCACAGTCTCGTTATGTTCAGTCTGATATACCCCGTCCTCTGTGTGCCGCACAGTCTCGTTATGTTCAGTCTGATATACCCCGTCCTTTGTGTGCCGCACAGTCTCGTTATGTTCAGTCTGATATACCCTGTCCTTTGTGTGCTGCACAGTCTCGTTATGTTCAGTCTGATATACCCTGTCCTTCTGTGTGCCGCACAGTCTCGTTATGTTCAGTCTGATATACCCCGTCCTCTGTGTGCCGCACAGTCTCGTTATGTTCAGTCTGATATACCCCGTCCTTTGTGTGCCGCACAGTCTCGTTATGTTCAGTCTGATATACCCTGTCCTTTGTGTTCTGCAGTCTCGTTATGTTCAGTCTGATATACCCTGTCCTTTGTGTTCCGCAGTCTCGTTATGTTCAGTCTGATATACCCCGTCCTTTGTGTGCCGCAGTCTCGTTATGTTCAGTCTGATATACCCCGTCCTTTGTGTGCCGCAGTCTCGTTATGTTCAGTCTGATATACCCCGTCCTTTGTGTGCCGCACAGTCTCGTTATGTTCAGTCTGATATACCCCGCCCTCTGTGTGCCGCAGTCTCGTTATGTTCAGTCTGATATACCCCGCCCTCTGTGTGCCGCAGTCTCGTTATGTTCAGTCTGATATACCCCGTCCTCTGTGTGCCGCAGTCTCGTTATGTTCAGGCTGATATACCCCGTCCTTTGTGTGCCGCAGTCTCGTTATGTTCAGGCTGATATACCCCGCCCTCTGTGTGCCGCAGTCTCGTTATGTTCAGGCTGATATACCCCGCCCTCTGTGTGCCGCAGTCTCGTTATGTTCAGGCTGATATACCCTGTCCTTTGTGTGCCGCACAGTCTCGTTATGTTCAGTCTGATATACCCCGTCCTTTGTGTGCCGCACAGTCTCGTTATGTTCATCTAGACTGCATACCAACCGCTCCACGTGCGAATGGGAGACCAAACTTTCATCATGAATTTGTCTTTTTCCAGACATCAACCAAACACCTGGAAACTGTTCTTTAGCCCAGCCACGGTGTAGCACAGATGGGAGTTGATCAGGAAAGCTGAGGTGGCGTGCTAGCGGGCGGAGTACTGGTGTAACACGTCGAGGACTACTCAGTGTGTAAATTCAGTCACTTTGTAACACGTCTGAAAATATCTCTGCTCCACAATAAAACCTGCCTGAAAATATCACTGATTATTTTGACAGATTGACAAATTCCACTGGTTGGTATAAACGAATTGCAAGATGTGTCTCTGTTCACAAAAGCGCAAAGCAAAAAGGATAGATAAAAGGTACAACAATACAATCGTGTACAGTTACAGTTGGTTGGTAGTGCTACTAATATCTCTATGTCTGATAGAGTTCGCTGGTAGTGCTACTAATATCTCTGTCTTGTACCACTAGCTGGTTGTGCTTCAAATATGCCCATTTTGATTATTGTCACCTAAAGAAAATGTTTAACGTTTAACGTGTTTTGGCAATCGTGACAATTTATCTGATTGCTTTTGCAGATTAAAAACTATGAAATATCCAGAGTTGTGGGATCAGCAGTACTATATGAATTGTGCCCCCATGTCCGTTTACTTACCTCACCTGGTATTTGTTACCTGGGAGGTATAGTGTTTTAACCACTCTTTGTCACAACACTCAGATCATGCCACGATGTCCGTCTGATACGTAAGATTCTGAGGTATGACATCCGGGTATATATTGATCTTCATACTTTTGTAAAATGTTCATAGATGATACACATAAATGAATTGTCAATATTTCACGGTCTTGTGTTATGTCAAGAGGACAAGGCTGCCGTCCTTATCTCCAAATGATTGCTGGACTGACAGTCGTCAGATCTCCATGGGATACTCAGTCAGACATTCTTGTATATGTGTTTCAGGGGTTGGTAAAACTGTACCCAGTACAGCACCTTTGTCTGACTGTAACAAGTAAGGAGTATATACTGAACATCCTCATATAATGGGGGCGGTGGGGTAGCTTAGTGGTTAAAGCGTTGGCTCGTCACGCCATAGATCCGGGTTCGAATCCCCACATGGGTACAATGTGTGAAGCCCATTTCTGGTGTCCCCCGCCGTGATGTTGCTGGAATATTGCTAAAAGCGGCGTAAAACCAAACTCAGTCCTCAGTCAGCCCTCATATAATGATACGTATGACGTAATACCCTCGACAAGGTAGTAAAGGTGGATGATGATGGAAGAATCGTGTGGTCAGCAAATGTTAAACATTTCTACATGCATTTTGGTGGTATTGCCGATGTATAATGATTTAAAGGATAATTCAACATATTGCATGATCTAAAGTATAACGAACTGTGACACACAAGTTGTGTAGGGTGTTCCGTATATCGAGATGTGACACACAGGTTGTGGATGGTGTTCCGTATGTCGAGATGTGACACACAAGTAGTGGAGGGTGTTCCGTATGTCGAGATGTGACACACAGGTTGTGGAGGGTGTTCCGTATATCGAGATGTGACACACAGGTTGTGGAGGGTGTTCCGTATGTCGAGATGTAACACACAAGTTGTGGAGGGTGTTCCGTATATCGAGATGTGACACACAAGTTGTGGAGGGGACACACAAGTTGTGGAGGGAGTTCCGTATATCGAGATGTATGTCTTCAACATAACGCATTATTACCCATATGGTGAAACATAACCAGTGTCGTATATATCATATGTGCACATTTCCCTTTTGCCTAGCAACCATTTCGTCGTCTGTGACGGCATTCAACTTGTTTACACTTGCTTACCGTGCTTACGAAATTTCACTCTCGTTTTGTATAAGTCGTGTGACACACTTGCTCGTGTAGTAATCTCTCTATATGACACACACTTTGCGGAGGGTCTTCATTATTATGCAATATGACACACAAATTGTGGAGGATGTTCAATATAACGAAATGTGACACAAGTCTCGTGAGAGGTGAGGTGAGTGTTGTCATTGCAGAATCCCGAGTTGTGACATTAACTGACTGACAAGAGAGAGGTTTGTTACCGGTCGCCACGAAAGGCAATTTATCATGGAGACAGTTAAAGATAGTTGTGTCATGTTTGTGAGAATATTCAGGAAATACCAAACTATCAGAAACTGGACTTGTTCGACATATCCGAGATTGGATTGTTTTGTATCATCATAATGTAAATGCGAGTAATATTTGTACAGGTAAAGATCCTTAAAAAAGCTGTAAATGAAAAAATAATGTCATAAATAATGTAATAGATGAAACTTGGCAAAAAATTAGTGAAGGCTATAAATAAAACGTTTTATGCAAGGAGTTCAATGTAAAAACCTATAGCACGTTACTTGGAAATATTTAACGGTTACTGCAAGGTGTTCATTGTATGTACACAAGACATCCACAAATAGTGTAGGTGTTCAATATAACGACACAAGACACACACAAGTAGTGTAGGTGTTCAATATAACGACACAAGACACACACAAGTAGTGTAGGTGTTCAATATAACGACACAAGACACCCACAAGTAGTGTAGGTGTTCAATATAACGACACAAGACACACACAAGTAGTGTAGGTGTTCAATATAACGACACAACACACACAGAGGTAGTGCGGGTGTGTTTAATTTAGCGACACAATATATACACGTAGTGCAATATGACGACTACTGATATCCCCACACAGCCAGTACAACATTTACGTATTGCCACATATGATACCTACTAAGACCCACAGTAGATTGAGATCAGAGATGAGAGATGACATCAATGACACCACAAATACAAAAACACAAAATACCTTTAAATGCATAATTCACGATCCAGCATTCAATTGTTGGTACGAACTTTCAATGTCAACCGTAATTCTAATAAATTAATATGAATAGAACCAGTCTGCCCTATATCAACACGGCTAATACTCCACACTATTGAAAACCACAGTCACTGTGGACTTGTGCTGAACTCTGTGGGTTGTGGCAATTGTAGGAATATGCATGGAAATGTGGGACGTAGTTGTGCACATTCTTCAATGGGTGTTACACACATCTTCCCACATTGATTACGACCACATACATAGTTTCCACGTGACCATAGGAATACATGAATATTGAGTAAGATTGAAACGTGTGAATATGCTTATCAGGGCTCGTTTCACTAAGCGATCGCACCGCGAACATGATCGTAAATCCCATACTTTTACATAGACTTACGACAGTCGTAGCGCTACGATCGCTTTGGGAAACGAGCCCCTGGATAGTGGGAAATGCCTTAATAATCAGTTTAAATATCATAGAATATGCCTCAAATACATCTTTGCACAATGAGTTCAAGACTATCAGTACATCAAGCTGTAATACAGGCTCAGAATGTTGTTCAACATGTGTGTCTCAGTGCTGTGTCAATTTGCAGACTGTACCAACATAGGAGGACAATAATATCCACAAGGAAACAACCTGTTTATGTAGTGGGATAATACTGGCAATAGCGAATGCTTCACCACGGGAACCAGCAATCATATACATTTGGGAAATGCTAGAAGCCACAACCGCTTTGGAATCTCGTGTGCAGGTTGTGTATCCCAGCAATGGCAACTGTAGGGCGGTTCTACAAGGCGGTGTATTTACTGAGTACGTTGACACTGATACACGGATGGGATGGATACTATCCTCAGGCCCACATCAGCACTCGTTCTTCAGTGAGTCCTTATTCTGAGCTGCGACCAGTATCATTAGTAGTTGAGAAGTATGACCACGAGGTGGCATACACTCTGATCTACGCCGCGCAACAGGAACCGGAAGTCCTATGGTTTCATGGAGGATCCCTTGTACCGTCTCACGGATACTTTCATTCAATGACAGGCACAGGGTTGGTGCAGATATCGACAAACGACGTTCGGTTTGGGTTTGTGCTACTGAAACCACTGTCTTACAAGTTCTACATCCACATTGATGTCCCGGCTCCAGTGGGCAAAGAGCCATTTTGGGAGTACAGCTACCAGCAGATGGACGTCACCATTGAACCAGGCTATGACATCGACTACTCTAAAGGTATCTCCCCCTCAATAACAATCCTCAACAACCGCCATATGGGGGATGTCAAGGTAACAGAGGTTATAGAATCCTTTTTTTACAACTCACGAGATGCTACTGTGTATGCGTCTCCGACGGTCTTAGACGACGAAGCCGATCAGGGACCTATAGAACGATGTGAAAGTACGACCACTGATTCTCAACAACGTGTACGATTTAGAATCAACAATCCGTTCGATAACACACCTCCTGAAGGCGTCAGTATCTTCAAACTATCGCCGGCTGTAGAGCCTCTGGACAAAATGGTTCACGGCTACCAGCTTGTGGTATTTGTTACCATCCACCCGGACTCTCTATCACCCGGACCATTCCCGACAAAAGCTGTTCAGCTGATAGCCTCCCGGTGTGACATTAACAAGACCTGCGAGGCAGGGGTGCCATGTAGACTGACCTGTCTTGCTGTAGGTAATGCCATACAGAAGATCGAGGTATTCAAGGGAAACAGCAGTTCTGCTAAAGCCTTCACACCTAGAGACACAGTCTACTTTCGTTACACAGCCGACGCGAGCTTTATGGCCAATCACGTTACTTCCGGTGATACGTACACGTTCAAGGTGACGGGGATGGGTGGGAGCACGGATTCGTTAACAGTCAAGATCACGGTAGAAGATGAGAAGTGAATACGGAGGTGTCGTGGTCGTTCCCTGTTGACAGCTTGTACTTTTCCTAATAAGATACCATGTAGTTTTAACTGCTAATTGCTATAATAATTAAACCATGTAGGATGATTGATTTCAGAACGCAGAACTGTCTACAATATGTATTTTATTCATATACACTCAGTTATAGTCAGACCGGGATGCCAAATGTAACCGTGAATAAACTTCGTCAGGAGTATTACGTGTTTTACTAATTGTGTGGCGGTGTGTGGTCCTGTGCATAGCGCTCAGGTCACAAATCAGTTGATGTTAAGCAACGTTGAGCGCGGAGAGCCCTTGGATGGGTGACCATATTTTGGCAGCTTGACTCCTGAGAGTTTCCAGGACTTCAGTCATGCCCTACCAACGAAGCACATGTAATAAATATGGTCTCACCTTAGGCAAGTGAGTTTGTTCAAAATTGCCTCTGTTCACCCAGTAGAAAATAGGTACCCGGTGGGATAAGTCATGTTACCGGGGTAATAATGATAAGGTTTTGCCTGCGCTTTGAGCAACCGCAACGATGGAAAATAGCGCCTAACAAATGCACTTATTGTTATAATTATATATTTCAGTGTGTACAGGCTAGATATGGACATCTATACAGGCTAGATATGGACATCTATATAGGTATCGTCCGATCATAGGTTTCCGTACGTCACACGTTTACAATCAGCTGTGCTCACTCTAAGATAAAGTTATCTTTTATATGTTAGCGACATGTTTGCAATTGTTCATGTGATAAAGGAGACAAGGGATGTTCTTAACCGTCCCAAAACCCATAACACGAGGACATACAGTCAGTGGCCAACAATGAGTTCGCACTCACATAACGTCACGACAGCTTAGTGAATTTCAAAGCACAAAAAAAGAAGTGATAACTTTCTTAAATGAAAAAATACTTACACGAAACTTTCAGTACTGAGTGATGTGACCTCTTACTCTCAAAACCTGTCGGATTCGGGCTGGTATACTGAGATAAAGGCTCCCTACATAGACACGAGAAAAGTCTCTCCAGATTTCCCCGACGATGCGTATGAGGTCATCTTTGGTGTTCATGTCT